TGCTGGGATTACAGGCTTGAGCCACCGCGCCCGGCCCTATCTCATTTTTAACAGCTGCATAGCACTTCATTGTGAGGAAGCAACATGCTTTATGTAATCAATCTTTTATCAGCGATTTCCTTTTTGTTTGTTTATTTATTTTTGTTTTTTTGCTATTACTAACAGGGCAGTAATTAATATTCCTTTTTTTTTCCTTTTTGTGGAGAACAGGGTCTCACTATATTGCCCAGACAGGTCTCGAACTACTAGGCTCAAGTTATTCTCCCACCTCTGCATCCTTAAGTGCTAGGATTACAGGTGTGAGCTGCTGCACCCAGCAACATTCTTCTTATATATATTTGCACATACACAAGAGAATTTTTTCATTTTGATTCCCCACCGCCTCCCCAAAAAATTTGGCAGACATGGTGGCTCATGCCTGTAATCCCAGCATTTTGGGAGGCTGAAGCAGGCAGATAACTTGAGCCCAGGAGTTTGAGACCAGCCTGGGCAACCTGAAAAAACCCTGTCTCTACAAAAAATAGAAAAAAATTAGCCAGGTGTGGCAGCGCACACCTGTAGTCCCAGCTACTGGGGAGGCTGAGGTGGGAGGATTGCTTGAGCCTGGGAGACTGGGGCTGCAGTAAGCCTAGAATGCCACTGTATTCCAGCCTGGACGACAGAGAAAGATTATGTCTCAAAAAAAGAAAAAGGAATTGCCGGTTTAAAAAAAAAAAAAAAGGCAGAAGAGGCAGGAGAATTGCTTGAACCCGGAAGGCAGAGGTTGCAGTGAGCCAAGATCGCACCACTGCACTCCAGCCTGGGTAGCAGAGCGAGACTCCACCTCAAAAAGAAAAAAAGGAAAGAAAAAAGATATGCACATTTAACATTTTAATAGTGTTACATTCCCTTCCAAAAGGCTGCCAATGTATATTCTCACTAACAATATTGAGTACCAATTTCCCCATATATTTATTAATGCTAGGTATTAGGAATGAACTTTCTATAACGTCTTTCATAGTAACAATGCTCTGGGACCCAAATGTGGTACTCACTTTTCTAAGAGTTTGTCATAATTGTCATTCAGCAATTTTCGTTCTGTTTCCAAATCTTCAACTCTCTCCTGAAACTAAGAGTGATAGTAGTCCTTGAGATAAAATTTAAAAATCTATTCCCCCGCACAGGATTTCCCTTTTCCATGGCAGGGAGGGCTGTGGGTGAGAGCCTTTCTATCGCCATCTCCAGTGTCTATGAGAAGCCATTCAACCAGAAAGACTTGAACCAATTGAAGGTTGGCTAGAAACTTTCATTGGAATTAATGAGGATTTTCCAAAATAAATCTTCATTGTCTCTGGGTTTCTACTGTTAGGGAAGCAGCAAAACATTATGAAAGAGCAAGGACTTTGGAAAACAGACATAAGTATAAATCCGAGCTTTCCCCCTAATGGTGTAATCTTAAACAAATGATTTAACCACTTGGAGCTTCGTTTTTGTCCTTTGAAAGAATGCAATACTCATATTGTTGCTAAGATACACATTCTAACATCCCTGAAGTTGAAATGTAGATGGTATCTTTTAACTGTTATTATTTACCTCCTTCAGAGTCATCTGCAAGATAGACACATCTTCCAGTTGGCTCTTCAAGCTCATAGCCTTCTTGCTTTCTTCCTTCAGCTCTGCCCTGAGCTCATTCACTTGGTTGAGGAGGGCCTCATGGGCTGCACTCAGGATTCCCTGATTCTGGGGCAAAAGGAAAGTACCTCTAGGAATGGTCATATCACTCAGCACGAGTGGTCTCCAGACACCAGCAACCCTAGCATTCTCTAATAGATGTCACAAAGAATGACTATGATTAATATCGTATTAACTTTGTACTGTTAGTTTACCCTGTTTTTCACCCTAGCATTTCTCTGGAAGTATAATTTCCCTGGTAGGTAGGGTTTTCCATTCCGGGCAATTTTAGTTCATCATTTGAGCCTTAATTTTCTTTTCTTGTATTTATTTATTTATTTATTTATTGAGACAGTCTCGCTCTGTTGCCCAGGCTGGAGTGCAATGGTGCTTGGCTCACTGCAACCTCTGCCTACCGGGTTCAAGCAATTCTCCTGCCTCAGCCTGCTGAGTAGCTGGGATTACAGGCATGAGCCACCACGTCCGGCTAATTTTTGTATTTTTAATAGAGATGGGGTTTCTCCATGTTGGCCAGGCTGGTCTCGAACTCCTGACCTCAGGTCATCCACCTGCCTCGGCCTCCCAGTGTGCTAGGATTACAGGTGTGAGCCACCGTGCCTGGCCCCTGAGCCTGAATTTTCTCAAGGTTCAAATTAATCCCTAGTTCTAAATTAGTTGCCACCTTCCAAAGCTGCCTTCACTTTCTAAGCTATTTGACTGCTTTTTTATGATGATTTATTTCTCCGTTACTACCTAGAAAAGTGACATGTTAACTCTAGAAGTTCTCCGTGTGTTTCTGGTGGACTCCTCTGGTGAGGCACAGCTGGGTGGTCTCGTTTGGAACTCTGTCTTAGTGGTGATTCTTAAGCACAGACATTCACCCAGCTTCACATGCAGCCCACTCACAGTGGTGAATAAGGCCAAATATTTAAGACCATCTGAGAACACCAGCAACAACTTTGTTTATATCTAATCAGTTCACACATGCTTGAAGAATACTCAAGTTTTGAGCAAATACTATAATTTGCTTCAGCAATAGGCTTAAAAATATCATGCCAAATATTTCTCAACTCCAATCTCATATTTCAACTTTTATGAAAACAGTGCAATAAGTATCTTTTGATAATAGTATCATTTTTAACAGAAACTATATGACATAATAACATTGATTTAGTTAGCTAAATTCTGGTGTTATGTTACTTGGAGATGAACATAGATTTCTTTGAGTTTGATTATTCTGGTTACAAAGAAACGGAGACTCAGTTCTCGTTAAGTACCTTCTGGAGCAAGGTTTCGTATGCCTGGAAGAAAGAAATTATTATTTTATTGATTTATCAATTTCACGATATATTTATCACTGTAATATAAATGCTTAACGTTTTTAAAGACATTATAAAAATCCCACAAAACAAGTCAATTTGTGTACTTGTTTACTAACTGTTGCTATTTTTCCCCTGCCCTAGCTGGCCAAGTAGTATGTGACTGCAATCTTTCACACCATTTCACCATTTCTCAAAAAATAATGAAGGGTCATTTATTCACATTTGCATTGTACTTAGCGGATTATCCAAGAAAAATGTTTAATCTTAAGCTAGGTACTATTACTTAGCGTGTTTCAGAAAGATCTCCTCAGTTTTAGAAAAAAAAATAATGATCATAACAACAGGTATAATTAGTTGAGTAGTTGTTATGTGTTATATGTTACTATGTGTTTCATTACCTGCTACATGATGATCATTATAATCATTTCACATATATTATCTCATTTAATCTCTGTAGCAAATATGAGAGGTAAGTTTTTGTTTTTGTTTTTGAGACAGTCTCACTCTGTCACCCAGGCTGGAGTGCTGAGGCACAATCTCGGCTCACTGCAACCTCCGCCTCCCAGGTTCAAGCAATTCTCCTGCCTCTGCCTCCCAAGTAGCTGAGATTACAGGTACCCCCACCACACCCAGCTAATTTTTGTATTTTAGTAGAGACTAAAATACCATGTTGGCCAGGCTGGTCTCAAACTCCTGACCTCAGATGATCCACCTGCCTCGGCCTCCCAATCTTTTTTTTTTTTTTTTAAGTCCAAGTAATCTTTTTGAGAGAAAAAAGAAATTGATCGTATCAACTTGCTTAAAACCCTTTCACACAGCTCTCTGCTGTCTGTAGCATAAAGTCTAAATTCCTAGCATGTTCTGTCTTTAATGACAACAAGAAAAAAATTCTTAGTGTGTTCTCCATGACCAGGTTCCTGATGTTTCTCACCTCTGCTCTCACGGAAAGTCCCTCCTTCTCTTGCACACTTATTAACACATGCTAATCTTTTAATATTTCAGTATTTAACTCACAAATCTATTCCTTCATCAATCCTTTTCTTTTTTCTTTTTTTGAGACAAAGTCTCACGCTGTCACCCAGGCTGGAGTGCGGTATCAGGATCTCGGCTCACTGCAACCTCTGCCTCCTGGGCTCGAGCACTCAAGCAATCCTCCTGCCTTAGCCTCCAGAGTAGCTAGGACACAGGCACACATCACGATGCCTGGCTAATTTTTGTATTTTCGGTAAACATGAGGTTTCGCCATGTTTTCTGGGCTGGTCTCGAATTCCTGGGCTCAAGTTATCCTCCCTCCTTCACCTCCCAAAGTGCTAGGTTTACAGGCTCGAGTCACGGCACCCAGCCATTAATCCTCTTCTGATCTGGCACTGTTATAGGAGTTATTAAAAATAATTTTAGGCAGATAGAGAGAAAAAGGGGTCCTTGGAAAGTTTTCACGTCCTTTAAAGCAGCTCCAGAAACGTTTTTTGTCTAGCAGGAAAGCCCCGGCTCTTACAGCCGGGCAGGCAACCTTTGATATGCAAATGTAGGTCTTTAGAAACTGGGTCCACCCAAACATGGCGATTCCCGCCCTCGTCTTCCTGCCCTTGCCCCAACATGTACCTGGCAACATGGCCACCCCCACCAATCCCCACGTGTGTATAACATCCTGGCGCCCTGGATTTGCATACTTTTAAGGCTAGGGTAGGAGGGCCAGTTTTTTCCACAGGCTACATGAGTGACATGCCTGGTCAAACCAATCCCGGAGCCCTATGCAAATCAGACACCACCTCCTCCTGCCTACTTATATAAGCAGCCACTTTTCCCCTGCACATGGGTCTCCTCTTTCGGCTTTGCAGTATTCCTCCCTCTGTGTCTGTAGAGGGGAGCTTCTTCCGTCTTTGTTCTCCCTTCTTTCTTGCCTATTAAACTCTCCGCTCCTTAAAGCCGCTCCACATGTGTCCCTGTCGTTTTATCTAATTCACGTGAGACAAGAGCCCTGGTGTTCCTCCACTCATTAAAGCCATATCAGCACCTCACCCACTGGTGAGTCTGACTACTCTGTCTTTTGTGTCCTGCCCATACTCTGCATACGGATAGTTGAATTTGTTTACTTGTTCTCTCACTCCTATAAACGCCTTGAAGGCAGATGTTATCTTATTTATCTTTGTAATCTCTGTATCCGTGTGCGTTGCAATTCCAGGTACTGGATAGATATTTGTTCAATAAAAGGATGGTGCTGACGTTACTTTGACCCTTGATACTCTTTTTCCACCAATCAGATATTAGTTTCCAATGTGTGATAATGCTAAATGTGCTTACCCTGAGGGCAGTCGTCAGGCTTAGAAAATATAATGACGGTAAATATCCGGGACAGAGTGCAGCTCACAGAAAGTGCTAAAAGGCTAGTTTCCTTCCCTTCCCCTGTGCTTTTGGCTTCCTAATTTAATCACATTCTGGTTTGTGGTCTTTGTAGGGGACCTTAACCCTTACACAAGTTAACTCCACTCTATTTCTTTTTTTTTTTTTTTGAGACAGAGTCTCACTC